CTGGGTATCTAATCTGTCATTCTGAAGAGAAACCTCGCAATTGACTATCTGCAACCGCTGGTCAGATGACAGTGCGTCATTACCCCAACTTGTAGGCGTATCAATGGGTCCTTTGTGTTATGGTTAAACATGTAAATGAGTCTGACGACATGTGTCAGCTAATATTTGCTCGAGATTTACCTTGTAACGTTATTTCATTTGTACATAGGTTTGGATTTTCAGGTGGACATCCACATGGAGGAGCTCCCAATGGTTGAAGCCTGTCTACTAGTATCAATCCCTTTGGACGGCCCGGGTCAATGCTTCAAGTTTTGTAGAGGGCAGATCTGATGCATTGAAAGTTCCTCTGGCTTACATAGTGTAAGCAAGATAGGATCATTCGATTAAAAGTTAGAAGAAAGTACATATGATATGTAATATGTAGAAGATACGCGTAAAGAGAGAGAGCGCATATGAGAGTTGCGACAGTGCGTAGGGCAGATATCAGCTCCTCAGGCAGATAACTACAACATAGATATCTTAGCATACTGAACATATGTTGCTCAGGAAAGACCTCATACTGAAGAGACATATGTTCATTGTCTGGATACAATCTGACAGGAGAACACAATTGGCAATGTCAAAAGGAAATACCATTAGTTTTCGGGACTTGCCATGAGCACAAAATCCGAGAAGAATAAAAGAATAGCTTCCCGCAGCGGGATTTACTTCCAAGGATGTTTGAAAACGAAGCGATCCAAGCCCATGCTGACAGAGTGTCCAGACCTCAGTGGACTCAGACCATGATGATATACGGATTACTGAGAATGATTGTGAAAAGCCGTTCAAGCCCTCGAGGCTGGTAGAGCCCTGCTCAAAAAACACCAATGGTAGACATCACCAGCACACCAGCCACAGTCAAAGTCAATTATTCAGCTGTATAGAGGACGGTAATAAGAACGCCGATTGGCTGGTCACATCATTAATTTCGCGATGCGGTCAACAGAACAATTCTAGGCATAGAATGGAATTACTCGTCACTGCGCCCATACGGTGTTATGACAGTGCATGAACAATTAGAATGCCGGGTGGGTCCTCGGTGCAAATTCATCACGGTAATCGAGATGGACTCAATCCTCCCACGCACCTGATTATCATTGAGAACAGCAATGTCTCAGCGCTCGTTAGCTGGTTCATCCTTTCCATAGGTTCACTGCCCTCTGAATTCGTTAGGAGGCCAAGTACGAAGTTGAGATGCTGGCGTACAAAGTGCCTACAGTGCAAAAGATATAGTACAAGATTGGAATGAGTTATGAACATGGAGACAGTGTGGATCCTGAAAAAAAAGATCATGACATCAGCCTCAGAGAAAACATATGTAAGCTATGTCCTACTGGTTTCATGATGAGTGTAGCGATCAATATGTTCTAGATGTTAGGCAGTGATGATGCCATACTTACCACGGATGCAATGGGGTCCTGGAATCAACAAAATCATGGTATCAGCCTCGTAAGAATATAGGCAAGCTATGTCGGGCTTACTGGAATCATACCAGGCAGTAATTAACTCTGATGAAATATCATAAATGTGATGATCCGTATGTTGTGAATGCTGGATCGTGGTTGAAAGCTTACTTTTGCGACATGGGATTTTACATCAGCGCCGGCAGGGTGAAGATCGTGCACTGCTTGAGAAGATGACGATATGACAGCCGTGAGAAGTCTTAAGCGGCCGTAGGCTAGGAGAACTGCAAATTTTTACGGGAACTTGCACGCCTCAGGTGGAAGGAAGGTGAGTCAATGAAAGATCTACTAAAAAAATGCAACATTCAAACCAAAGTTATCTAGCAATAATATCAGAGATGAAACGATTACACGGCTAAGGAATCAGAATGGATGGAAAACAAAGAAGGCTGTGAAGTGATAGATACATACCCACACACTCTCCGAGGTTGTGTCAGAGGATATCCTCAAAATTAGTATGTGGCTGATACGGAATCACGGGCCGGGCCGGTAAACTTTGCAATTCTCTCAAGTCGTCAGTCAACTATCTCCTGCGGTCGATTTTACATATGACGTGAGCGTCAGGTGTTCTTTGAACTCAAGCTCGAGAAATGCTGTGGCGACGAGTGGATGTGAAATCTGATTTTACGAAACGGCTAGGAAACCGACACAACCTTTTGACATCATGAAACTGACATGAAACTGATCCATCTTTCTTAGATCCATGAGATTATACTTGTCGGCGCACATGTCGCTTGATGTAAGGGTGTTCTTGTGATACTTTCTTGTTTTGCTTAAATAGCATAGGCGTGCGATGGCAAATACGCAAGCTCATACCAAACTTTTCCTGCTACACATATAACATGTCTGTTCCTCCCTCGCATCCCACTATCGCCAAAGATAAACACTCTGGTATAACCTGCCCAGTTCTGGACGAAGCGCACCAATGGTTCCCTCCGCGGGAAGGTGACAGTAGATCACCATGCCCCGCACTGAACACGATGGCGAACCATGGTTATATGTATGTTGTTTACTTCAATTTCCAATTCCACCCGATACAATTGATTCACAGTGCGCGAGACGGAAAGAATCTTGGCATATGGGATATTGTTTCGGGTCTCAAGGCGTGCTATAATCTCTCGATGCCCCTCGCGATGTTTCTTTCTATCGGCGGTTTCATCCTCTTGCGGAAATTTCGGAATGTTGACCTTCATGAAGTCGGGGAGCATGGGCGAATTGAGCATGACGCGAGCCTTGTGCATCAAGACACACCAAAGGGTCATAAATACGCACCAATTGCAGTTGACCACGTCCTGGTCGATTCGCTTCTTGCTGATGCACAGACAAGCAACAAATACGGTGACAAATCCATTTTGATGGACGCGACCTGCGTTGCGCGTGCTCGCATACGGCGGGAGAAGCAATGCCCAAAGCTAGATGTGGTGCATGCCGAGATCGCCAGGGGTGAAATGGGTATCTTTCTCGGTGTTTTCGAGACACAGGTGGGGAAAGACGTTGGTGTTCCTGTGGAATGGACACATGAGTGGATTGGCTACGAAAGGTTACCGAAGGAATGGAGACCTACTCATGTACAGGGACTTTTCGATGTTGTCTGCCGATCCAAAGCAATACGTACTGCAATGGCACGACTCAGGGAAGCAGAGAAGCAGAGTCTGTAACTCATGTTGAATTCTCATATTAATACTTAGCGTACTCGACATTTCAATCGGACAATATCGAACGTTGAACCGTTGATGACTTCACGAAGTTATGGATTCAATCTTATGTACTATTTTATCTTCCAGTTCAGAAAGGCCAGTTGTCATTCGGTCGTTGGCTAATTCCTGATTCCAGTGTGTTTGAAGGACGATAGGATGGGGTGAAAATATCCCTAGTATGTTTGACTGTTGATCGTCAAGATATCGCGGAATGAATCAACACGCTTTGTTTCGCTGTTAATGCCAATTACAACTGATAGAATTCATTGGACTGGCATACCCCACCTTCAACAGCTTCCTGCTCCTCTACCTTGAGCAGTACATCCCGGGCCGACTCGGAGCTATCAACCACACCTTACCGCAACTATACCATAATATTTATCAGGGTAATCCCTGGGTCTATTCTCGCTAGCCTCATCGTCAATTGGACCCATAGCTCAAAAAGCAGCCCTGGTGGTCTCTTGGTAGGAGGAAATACACGATGGCAGTATCAACTCTACATGCTCTCATACTGACGCGCGCTTGTTATCACGGAATTGTCGTAAGTCCAATCTGACCTTGTGGTTGAGCATTGACGCGTACACCCCGGAAGTTTATGTATCGAGACTCGCTGTATTCTACACATTGAGATGTCCTCAGTGTGGATACCTGCCAATGTCAGCAATGCTAACTGACCGGGGATGTCGTCCTGCGCAGGTCAGAGATGCATCTGGAAAGGCGGCTCTGTGTAATTTGTCATGTAACTATTGAGTGAGAATGTGTACGACAAAAGTTGGATAGGCGATCACAATCAAGTAGGACTCGGAACCCGGACCGGTACCTGAGCGTTTGAGATGAAGAGATGATCAGAGCACGTTCAAGTTGACCTTGCCCCATCTCTCACCTTCAATCGCATCGTGCTCTCACTATTCTTGATTCCCGTACAGCTCTCAACGTATAGCAATCACCGAACAGGAATAGAACATATTCTTCATGTATGTCGTGTTATGCCACGCCAAGTACGCCTTTGTAAGTTTCAACGTCCAACGAGCCCTCACAGAACATGTCCAATCTCTCCACACCTCAATACTTTCAATATCCCAACTTTCTTGCACCTGCGACTCGATCAGTCCCACTTGAAATCCGCACGCACATACTACTTAACAGACTAGCCTATGAATTCTTGAAAACCATTTTATACTCTTCGTCCTCGGCCTTCCGCTTGGCGCTTGTCAGGATGCGGTACGCCTGGCTGTATTCCACCTCTACTTGGGGCTTATGTGGTCGACCCTAGAGGGACAATAGACAAGACAGACTTAGCAGGAGGTAGAATTTCCCTTCCATAATTGCCTACTGGCATCTATCATCAAACAAAAACGGACAAAAGTTGGGATACCGGCAGGGAATCGAGGCTGGCAGTCTCTTAAGAAACGATTGATCAGGCAAAATAGGCAGAACGGTAGGTTCATGTTCCTGAGTCATCACAGCGCGATCTTTTGCGCGCATATATCCTCAGACAAAAACAGTCCTACACAACGGGGTCCCAGCAGAGATCGACTTGGCCGATGGAGCTGAATACGCCTTCTGAGGTTCTGTTCCCTTTCCTTACGTTGTGTGGCGAACAGACCCCGCTGAACGAAAACTCGACCATATGATGCAGTGCGATATGACAACACTAGCTTGAAACCGGGGGTGAATCGGACAACGCCCCCGGGTGGGTGGGAGAGGCCCTTGTTCTCAGCGTTGAGATTGAAAATTCTGCTTAAGTAAGTAGGGGGACAAAAAAAAAGTCTTCCAAAAACAGATAGCTACATCAACAGATTGCATTAAGGGGGAATCGAACCCCCGGCGGGTCGAGAAAATCGAAAGAACTATGGCAACGACCCAGGTTACCACTACCCCATTAATGCTAAGTCAATAATGGGTAAATGGTACCTATAATCGTTAGGTGGAAGAAGCTGGGTTGCACTTGTCATTTTTCAGGCCCTGGGAAGCTCCCAAGAAACCTTGTCTGGGAATTTCCTAAATCTTGGCCTCAAATCCGCTATCTTTGGGACCTCAAATCCGCAATCACGGACAACATTTGCAAAACATGTGTCTTAAAACGGAAATTCTCATTTTTTTCATTGTTTTTTCTGTTCACCCACTATTGGTGCTAATGTTGTGAAACTGAGCTATATAACTAACTATATCTTGAGTCTATCTACGAGATAGCCCACCAATTGGAATGCAAATCTTCACAACAGGTTCTTTGGCAAGAATGGGCTTTAGTTTTGTGTGATGCAAAACATTCCATCGCGATGTGGCAAGAGGTGTCACAGATTTGTGAAGAACATCATCATCAACAAGTGCATAAGCCCAAGGTTAAAGATGACATTGTCAACAGGGGCATGTATGGAGACTGAAAATTACTGAGGTGAGGATGATTGAAGCAACAATGTGATTTGTTGTGCTATCACACATGTAACAAGTTGATATGTAAATTTACATTGCAAACCTGTCATACACCTCGATTAAGGGACTCAGATTGCCTCAAATGCTCAGAATTTTGTTGTCAAAATCCCAAAAATTTCATCTTGCTGAGCCTCAAATCCTCAACATTACGGACCAAGGTTGCTTCATCAGAGGCCTCAAATCTGCAAAGTTGGAACTTAGATTTGGCCAAAACTTCCCCTTGAATCCCCTATTTTATTTTGCAGACAAGATTTCTTGGGAACTTCCTGGGACTTCATTTTTCCAACTGACTGATGTCCAAGATCGTTATGAATCTTTGTCTTATCCTCAATGGTTTTCTGCTCAATCCAGACTTTGTCAATTAAGGGAGCCATTTAACTTGAGCCAACTAAGCTCTAAGAAACCTGGATATGTCTTTCCTTGCATTGATCTCCTTTCTTCACCATTTGAGATCACTCTATCCTTGAAAAAATTTTCCTCACCATAAGTCAGACAATCATTTTATACAACCATTAAATATATCATACATTTCCTGCAGTTGGCATTCTCTGGTACATCATTGACAGACAGTCAGGTCTTTGTCTTATCCTCAATGGTTTCCCTGCTCAATCCAGGCTTTGTGAATCAAGGGTATAGTCCACTAGACCATCCTGACAGGAAAGGGGAACCATTGAGTATGGGCTGTTGTGAGCATGGCATGTCTGAGATCTACAAGGCAGCACACAATCTATCCTTATATGAATCAACTAATCATCCTTTACGTATAATACAACAAATGCTGACCGACCTCTGCATGTATCTAGAAATGTACTGTCATTTCAATCTGAAAATTAGGTATGATGTTACCTGCTAGTAGTTTTACCTGCGAGTAAGTAGCGCACAACTATTGCAGGTGTAGCTA